GCGAGAATGTAAGTTGTAAGTAAGAGTGTAAGGTGTCTGTGGCTTCTTGGCTGAATTTTGCCTCAAATGAAATTACGAATTTTAAAATCTAAAATTAATAACCGCTTAATTATATAATTATAAAAAATAAATGCTAAAAAAATAACCGCATTATAAAATAGCCGCTTAAAAAAAACAACGCTCCCGCTTATAGAAATTATACTGCTTTTAAAACTATAAAGTCGAAACCCCATGTTTATGTTTCAAGTCTAGCGATTTTTTCCAAAATCATTTCACTTTCTCACGTAGAGGTGCAAATGCCAGAATTCTCTTAATTGGAATTGTCAAAAACTCCAAGTTAATGTTTCAAGGTCAGTGATTTCATTCAAGGTCGATTAACTTTTACATGTGGAGCTGCAAATGCTAGAATTTTCTTACCTTGAACAATCATGGGTAGCAGTGGGTAACAAGAGGTTTTTCAGAAGTGGCTCAGACCAATTGGGGCAAAGGGGAAACATAAAAAAGACGGGAGAATCTGTATAAAAAAATCATAGTTTATTGCTCACACAATTCGTTCGGTTCACCCATGCACATCGTGCTTTTGTTGCTTCGTGAGGACTTAAGCTTAAAATATAAAGAAGAATTCTTGAAGCAATATTATGCTTTACCAAATGGAGCCAACATGAAGCTTCTGTACAACTCGGAATTTCACAATCTCCATTATGTACGTTGTTTGTTGAAAAGAAGGGAGCTCATTTTGGAGGAACTGATGGCAAGTGCAAATTTCTCATGTAAGGAAAGTGGAAAGTCTACTGAAGTAGAAACTGACCTCTTGGAGTGGAAATGCCAGGAACAAGAACGACACATTGTCGCTAGAAATCCTGTAACAAAAGGCTGAGATGAGTTTATCCCTACTTTTGGATGGCTCACATGATGTAAAGAAAGAACCGATATCATTTTGAAAAAATTACAAACTTTTGCAAGAATGCAAACCACATCAAACTTTTAACACTGATGAGCCCGGCCTTTATCATCGAGCTCTACCCCAGTACACTTTAATGTTTAACAGTGAGTCGTCAGCTGGCTGTAAAAAAAATGAAACAACGTATTTCTGAGTTATTAACGAGTAACATGGATGGAACAATTAAAATGATTCCATTCGTCATCGGTGCAAGTAAAAATCCTCGTTGTCTGAAAGGCGTCAAGTATTTGCTCGTGACTTATTACAACAATAAAAATGCTTGTATGACAAGCAATATTTTTAGTGGATTTCTTACAAAGTGGAATAACGAACTTCAAGGAAAAGTGACGCTCTTGTTAGATAATTGCGCTTTCCATCCAACAATTAATCTGTCGTTGAAGAGCATAAAATTAGTTTTCTTTTCTCCTCTTAAAATTTCCATTCTTCATCCATTAGATTAGGGTGTTATAAAAGCATACAAGAGTCATTACAGATTGATGTAGTTTCTTATTCTAAGGAAATTGTTGTTAAGTCGATTACTCTCTTAAATGCTATGCGTGTTATTTTAAATGCGTGAGATGAAGTCATTTCGCAAACGATTTCAATTTTTTTTAAAAAAATAAGGGCTTCCATTCAATGCAAATTTCTCAAGATGTGCCAGAAGGCAATGGAGACGATGAAGAAACCTTTATCGAATATTTGGAATAACTTGAGTAAAGTGATGCAGAGTTCATCGAAATTATCAGGGAAAACAAAGGAATTAGTGAAAATGAAAAATGACTTCGAATTTGAAAATCCCTATCCTGTACCAACGACAGCAGAGTCTTGACAAGCATTAAAAATTTTTAGAAGAACGCTCGAACGTAAAGGTGGAGACACAGAAAGTTACCAGAAATGTCGTGTCTTGGAGACTACCGCTGAAAAGCTATTAACAAGAGATATGCAACAAACTCGTATGGATAAATTTTTAAATAATGTTTAATATGCTTACATATTGTATTGATCTGTGTAACGTATTGAAATAATTACAGTTTGTCTGAATTAAGCCAGCTTTTGTCATCGACAGAAAACAATAATGAAATTTTCCTTACATGTTAGAAGCAGCATATCGAAAAAGAGTATTAATATCAATAGCAGGGCCGTGTGAGTGGTTCAGGTATGTGTGCATTTCATTATAAAAATTTATTGAAATCTTATATAAAATAAGTCTATTTTTAATAATTTTATTCTTATATCACCCTTTCCCGAAAATTTCCAATCTTATACCTTAACTGAAATGAAATCCTGCGTGCGGACCAGCACCGCATGTAAAACTCAACCGCTTTATAAAATCAAATAAGGTGGGAACAGACGTCATCCTATTAAGCGGTACCCCATTGAGCCGATATATTTAACTGATAATTGTATAAACATTTAACAGTGTCCCTGTAATTAATAAAAATAGGTTTCTAACGGGTTTATTACGCGCCTTGGTATAAAATTATTCTGTTTTTTGAGTTCCAGTGAGATAGCAGTCGACGAGGGATCGATTATTCCAATATCCTTGACATTTCAAAACTACAACTTCTTCTCACAATAAGTATAATAACGGCTATAATACGGTTATCACAGAGAACTTGTTAAAACATTTATTATTGCGTTATGCCGGAAGTTAATAAAGTAAAAGGTGAAACACAAAAGCAAAATAATGCTAGGTGTAGTACAGTGGTTACAGTTCACAATTTTGATGCGAAACATGTGTTTAAACATATACGCAGTACGTACTGTACAGAGAATGAAAAAACTGATGGACCCTTTAGTGTTGCTTATTCTTTACAAGTCCATTTATTTGACTTGAATGAAAATGCAATACAATTGCAATATTTTAAAAGTACAATTTTTTCCGACACAGATTTGTCTGAACATAGGCATGAATCCGCCCTTCAGATTTCAATAGCGCGATTCAGAAAAAGTGGGATCAGAAATTTTCAACACAATTCAAGTGATTTTAAAAAGGATAGATCATCTTACCTCTGTCGGGAAATACAGGTAGTCTTCGACTTATAAGGAGCGCCGCTCTTGCAGTCCCGTCGTAAGCTTCGGGGAATTCTATTTTGTCCTTAACATCTTTGGTAATATTTTAATAGATTTGGTTTTTATTTAACATAAAATGGGTTTGAGAATGTATAAGCTTGCGTGACATTTGTAAGCAATTTCTTTGCATATATACACAAATGTACTCGTATTATATACATAGTTTATAAAATTAATATTAATTCTTGCTTTAAATCACTATAAATGTAATATAAACAAAACACAAAAATACATAGACGATATCTTTAGTTAATCATTTTCATTGACACCAAGAGTAATTTCCTTAATCGAAAAATTCATTAATGTTGTGTGTTTTCTTCCTCTTTATACTTTGCGATAACATTCGACTGCTTCTCGACTATAATTTGACAAAAAGATTAGTATTTTTATCGATATTTTCGATAAAGCTCCTCTTTTAGGCACAGCACCATTTCGATAACCATGCTGCGTTTGAGCGTAGAAAAATATTACATATCACATAATTTATATTGTACACCAGGGGTTCTCAGCCAGGAGGGAATTTTATTTACCTGTTAATTATTTTGTTTTGGTTTATGAATATAAAGAACTACTTTCATTCAAATTTTGGTTGCTTATCTACATTTTCTATACTTTTTCTTTTTTAGTTTATAAAACACATTAAAAAATAATCTGAATTTAAATATGTATACATATGTATTTTTCGAGTTTCGAAAAGGAGGTGGAGAATAATCTTGTAGCAATGGCGAAAGGAGGGCAAGAGGCAAAAAAAGGATGAGAACCACTGTCGCAGACACAGCAACGTTTTAAAACGTTTTAACTGTCATTCTGCGCCGAACGTACTAAAATAATACGTGTATGTAATATAATGTGACACAAAAAAAAAAAAAAAAAAAAAAACGAGACTGGTCCAATAAATCATTCTACTTACAAAATCAGTTCTCCGTGACATTATCACCCTCAAAGTGTGAATGCTGAAGGGCGTTTAAGCATTCACACACTTCTGCATTCGATGCTGGTAAAAGTTCTGGAACGAGGTTTTTGGAAGGCCCTTCGGGAGATTCTCCGTTTTTGCCTGAACCTCTTCAGCTGAGGTAAAATGGGTTCCCTTTAAGTAAGATTTAACGTTAGGAAATAAAAATAAAAGTCGCATGGAGCCAAATCAGGTGAACAAGGAGGATGCTCCATCACAGTAATGTTTTTGCTGGTCAGAAACCGCTTGACAGAATTAGCCGAACGAATGGGGTGTAGCCAAATGACTAGAATTCGATATCTTAAATATATTGGGAAAGTCCAAATTGACTAATTTATTGTTTTTTGTTTTGTTTAAATAAAAATTTTTAAACTGAAAAAACGGCCATTACTTATGTTTCAATCCAATAGTTCGTATCCATGCGGTGTTCATATTCATTGAACGAACCAGAAAAACCTACATTGTATCAATACTCAGAACGAACGGTGACTATGAAATATAGTAATAACGTACAGATTGCAAACCTCTATGCATATTTATAATTCACTATTTTTCAAACAGTAATATATTTGTTTTAATATTCTGAGACTTTGTATCCTTACTTTCAAAGAAGGAATACAGAACAAATGTCGCAGATTTTAAAAAAGAAATTATTTACTCGTGTTTTAATGGTATTCCATAGTAAAAACTTCAAGAATTTTAGTTTTTAAGAATTTGGCAACAGTATACATTATTTTTACTTTGAGAAGTAAAATATTTGTATGGTATTACAGTTTTTATAATTAAAACAATTCTTTTCAAGACATTTTTGATAATGAATTCTTTTTTAATGCGCCAGACTGCCATCCGTTACTTCAACTGTGTCCGTGAAATGTTCAGATCATAAATTAATTTTACTGATGATAGTGGTCGAATCCAAAATGTATTTTTTTCTATCATGTGATGTAGCTCTCTTTGATGGAAATCAATTCACACTACAGGTAAATGTATCATTTTATGAAGTTTGTTGTTTAACTCTATTTTATATCGTTTCAGTGCGGAAGTCGGTTCTCGTCATGGGTCCTCGAGAACGGCTTTCTGGTGCTGTTAGTGGTAGCTACGGCAAGCGGCTACATCCTGGGATTCCTGCTGAAGCCCCAGAACTTCTCCTCGCAGACAATCACCCTCATCGGGTTTCCCGGGCAGCTTGTCATCAGATCTTTCCTCATGATCATTGTCCCGCTGCTCTTTTGCAACCTTGTACTCGGTGAGTATGCTTCGACAATAAACTTAAAAAACACATTTCACTACTGTTATGTAGAAAAAACGCCGAATAGAACTTACTATCTTGATGGAATGTTGGTCTCTTTTTCAAGCGTCCGTTACCGTATAAGGTATTTCTCCCACTTTCCTAGCGTGCCTTCGCTAGTAGTGGTTCTGTACGCTGGGCCGGTATTCCAGAGGTCCGTGGTTAGGATTCCCTGCCAAGGCGGTTGCTAATTTTTCATCTCTCCGGCTTTTCCAATTAACCTAATATCTCTGCAGTGGCGCCAGAACTAAAAGAGTGTTGGATGAGGATTCTTTACACCCAGGATTTGGCGATTGGGTCGCCCTTTGAAAAGGGGAGTACATAAGGTAATTCTTCCACTTTCCTAGCTTGCCTTCGCGGTGTAGTGGCTCTGCACGCTAGGCCGGTATTCCAGAGGTCCGTGGTTCGGATTCCCGGCAAAGGCGGTTGCTAATTTTTCATCTTTCCGGCTCTTTCAATTAACCTAATGTCTCTACAACCGGTTTAAAAGACTTCCGAGGGCCCCGTGCTGAGTGAAAAAAAAAAGTTTTCCTGCCTGCTGAATTAAGTCTACGTATGTTTTCCATAATCGCTTTTTTCAATACTTACATTCCTTACCTTTTTCCTCTCTGCGTATTGAACCTATCGCTATGTTTTACAGCCCTTCCTTTCTAAGCCCATGATGTGTTGATTTGCTGCTCTTGATTATTTAGATGTGATGAAATATATCTTGTTAACCCTTGCTTTCTAAATTTATCGTGCATTTTCCAATAGCTCTCTTTCGTCTAGAGCAGTGATTCTCAACCTTTTGATTAACGCGTACCATCTAAACAAAAATTGAAAACCTTTAGTACCACCACTACAAAGTACTACTACCACCACAACTCTTGAACAAATCTTAGATCGCATTCACTCAGATCGGATTTACGAGTGTTAGAGAAAAAACTCAATCAGGATGTTGGGGTTTTAATTTTTGAATTTAATAGTTAAAAATACTTCGATTTTTTTGCCGTACCACCTATTTTTCTCTTGCGTACCATCGGTTGAGAACCCCTGGTCTAGAGTAATCAGTGCAGTGTTCCGCTTTAGGGTCAATTTCAGTAATTTCCCTGGACTTTGTAAACTATCCTCGAGTTCGTGAAAAGTCAAGATCAGTTTCGTTGATACTTCATGCGGACGTGGAGATATTTTTGTGGACTCAGATATACAATAAGTTATCAAATAATCATGTATTTCAGATATATGTATTAGGGAGCTCCCATAATGGCCTTAATAAACATTGTCTGTAAAAAAATTTTAGTTTTTTGTTCCAGACACAGATGAGAAATGAAAATTAAATTAATTAAAAAAATGAATAATGAAATTCATTGATTTTACAGAATTTTAATAGCCTTTGTAAAATATCGTAGAATGAAGAAACGTGCAGGAAAACTAAACTTTTGAAATGAAAAAAAAAAAAAAAAAAAAAAAAAAAAAAGAATGAATTTCGAAGTACTATTTCATAGTTCTCAAGCATCTCATGGATTCAGTTAGAGTTATTAGGGGCTTTTTTGGAAGCAGGAGACTTGAAAAATGAGCAACGCCTTTGCCGGGAATCGAACCACGGACCTCTGGAATACGCGTCCAGCATGCAGACCATTACACCACCAAGGCACGCTAAGAAAGTGGGAGAAATATCTTAAACAGTGACTAATAATTTGAAAGAGTAGATTTTTCTAGAGTTGAACAGTTGCCAGCAGGGCGCTATGTTATGCTACAAATGCGTTATTCCCGCTTCTCGGTTGCTTATTTATTATCAAAATGGAGATACCTTAGCAAAAAGGCATTCTCAAGTTTGTCCGACCGTGGCTTCAGAAGTTTCAAGACATGTGGATGTATTCAGATGTATTACAGTCAAGAAACTTGCCTTAATAATAATAATGTTCGCAACAAGAAAATTTTTCTCATTAAAATAATCTTTGACAGTATTAAAAATAGATACACCTTTCGTATCTGCAATCACGTTTTTTGCGAAAAGCATCTCTTAAATAATTTTCCCTCCTTTCACAAACCGGACATACGCTAACAGTAAAGCCTCATTAATACATGGCAGGGTTGATTCGTCAACGTGAAGAGAAAATTCGGTGGATATCAAAAGTTTGCCTAACGAATCAACATCTTCAGCCATGTCATGAATTCGTCGTCGTACTGTATCATTGCTTAATAGGACAAATTTTATGATACTGAATGCGGCTGGATAGTGTAAAATCGTTTTTAAAACTTCCTAAACAGTTGGCAGTATCAACTCTTCACCCATGGTATGAGCTTTCCCCGATTTAGCAATTGATTTTGATATATTGCTATCAAACCATCGTCGCATTTTTTGATGAGGTTGCTAGTAAGCTTGACACAGACGGTCCCTTCAGAAACTTGTCTCTGATGTTCGGAAAAAATAACAAATCTTTATTTTATTTGTCAGGGTGAATTTTTTGCAGATTCGTCTCACCATTCTTAGACTTCCGTGAGGGTAGCCGTCGCGTAAGTTCTTTTTATTGCTGCTCCAAATAGTGTAAACCGGATAATCCATTTAATAAATTTGGGGGGGGGGTGTTTTTAAATTAAGTTCGAATGCCAAAACATGCTCATCGCCCCCTACCGTCCAAAACATACCTGCGGCCAAAATAAGTTCATCGCCCCCCAGCGTCCTCCCATTGGCCCCTGGGGGCTTACTCATTTGAGAGCCAATGCTTTAAACGCAACCAGTAATTCTGAGAATATCAGTAAACATTGGTAGTGAACACCTGAAGTGTAGTAAATTTATTGCGGCGCAAGAACCGTGATTATTTTCATGAATTTTAGGGGAGTTTCTATGCTTTAGCAAATACCATATGTTTCAGTGAATGTGAATTTTTTAATCTACTGCTTTTTAATTTATATTATTGTTGTTAAATTATTTTTATATTTAAACAATTTGTATGCCACTTTTCATTAACATTTGCGAAAAAATACACGGCAGAGTGAAACTGTTACAAAATCCAATCTAGAAGATTAAGCTTTGAGTTATTCGAAATTTGACTGTACTTGCAAAGTACGAGAAATAGTCGTTTTCTGAAATTGAATAAAGTTGCCTATCACTGTCGGTAAATAATTATAATGCTGAACGATCCTTTTTTAGAAACTGCTACTATGTATCTAAAACTTTATGTATGTGCAATATAACGTACATAAATTCTTGCTTCGAATTCATTGAATTCAAACCGCAATATTCTTTGCGAAATATAACCAAGTGAATTCTGAACTAGAATCCGAGATCAAAAGTTTACTTAAACAATGGGCTAGAATTGATGTAGAAATGTATATCTTGAGACAGTGAATCATTTCGTGGCGAAGACCTCTGATAAATACCAATGTTTATGAAAATAGAAGCAAATAATAGCATTGAAAGTTGCCTTTCTAAAGAGACCACCTCCATAGCCGACCAAAATCATCTAGAACCGAGGCAGTAATGTTTGTTCACCACCATAATTTAATCGTAGTTTTTTAAGCGCCCTAAAAATAAAGAAAAAACGATGATGAACTAATATGCAGAAATGGAAAATAATTCTAATGGCGAAAGGTTCAAAAAAATTTAACTTATAAACTAAACTTCCTAATTCTAATGCAGTAACTGAAATAAAAGTTTACAATTAAAATAAATGTTTGTTCAGACGATAATTAAAAAGTTTTAAAATATGAAATATTTTACAATTATTTATAATAAAAACAAAATGGTAGCGTTACCAACTCATCAAACTAAATCTTTGCTATTGAAGATATTAAAACTCAACTGAAAACGAATTTCAGTTTAAAAAAGTCGAGTCAGTTATTGCCTTTCCTTTCTGGAACATAAAATGGTCGAGAAAGGTAAAAAAGGAAATTACTCTTTCAGCAGAATTGTGGAGGTAGAAACAGCTATTTACTTTCCATCCTCTCCATTCGATTTTAGTTGAGTTTTATTGAGCAACAGCGCGCGAAGATATGTTTTAGGAAGGGATGCCTTGTGAAAGTCTTTTTAAAAGAAATAGCTCACATTTACGTTATACGTGAGTAAAATCTTAAAAACGGCCATGCAATTAGCACTTTCGCACGGATTTGATCGTCGATCGAAATAAATAGTGAAATTTAACAACTCTATCCATTTGGCCAATTTTATTACATATACGCCTTGCACAAAAGAAAAAAGGGGACAGTTCTATATATCACGTCCTACTGGGCCGATTATCGAAATTTAACTTGCGTTTTCCATGTCTAGAATGGAGGTTCGGATCCCGTGAACGGGCTGGCTGCATGGGCGTTTTCGTGGTTTTCCCCATGTGTAACGTGTATACGAGCCAGTTCCCCTTAGAAAGTCCTCCACGAAGGCATCCCTCCCCTTAGGCAGATTATGCTTTGCCGTAATTAAATAAACCAAACCAACCATGTCTCGAATGCACGACTTAGAATATACATTAGATTTATATACAGCATTGTTCTAACATAGGTATTTTGACACAAAATCGGACTTTTTCTGAAATAAATTACCAATTTGTTTTCCAAGTTTCAATTCTACTACTTAAATTATGCCAAGTTTTGTAAAAATCGCACGAGTAGTTTTTAAAAATTTAGCTCTCGAAATTTAGCTCCTCCATGTTAATTGAATTTGATATATATTTATTAATATCTCCTTTTCTTATTAAATTTATTTGATTCTTCCGTTCACATTTCGAAATTTAGGTTCATTTCGAAAACATTCTCCTCATTTGTTATGATTTATTTTTAAAATTTGTATTTTTAAATATTTCTTTTAATTTTTAGGAAAAAAATTTTGAATTATAACCTATGGAATTTTTACACGTCATCTTTAAAGTAGATGTATTTCTAAGACAATACAGTTTGCAAAACAATACAGTTTTTATTCAAAATTTCCTGAGATATACGTGGATTTACATATTGGAGCGTTTTGAAATTTGGAATATTTGTTA